TAATAAAAATTATTTAAATTTTTGGTGATTATAAAATGAACTATTTTGTGCTATACTGACAGAGAGACTAAAACACAATGATGTAGTTCAGATTGAAGTTCATCATTCTGCTAAGTTAAGGAGATTGAAATACAGTGATTCCTTATTTGGGAGCTCATGATAATCTATCCCTAGAGACTTGCATCCTTTTTCTAAGTGACACCTAGATTCAGAAAGGCTGTACACACCGTATCTCTCGTGACCAAATTCAGGGAAGCAAAAAATGGGAAAGTACAGCAAAACCCAAGCTGTGTATGTATTCCCCTTTGGAACTTTAACATTGATTTCTGTTTGCATTCTTTAGCTAGAATAAATGACTCACAGATGGCCATGTCATGGCTGTGGTTGACAACGAGGGAATTGGGAAAAATGTTTTAGGAACTCACACTGCCACCATGCATATAAATAGGGTTCTTCTACAAGGAAGAATGCAATGAGTAGACATTAGTTAGAGCAGAAGTCCCTGTCTAGTTCAGTATAAATGTGATGCATTGTTGTAAAAAAGCATTGAACAAATAACAAGTATATTAAAAATTAAAAATGATAACTTCCTGTGACTTAATGCCATGTGTTCACCAGTCTCTTTCATTTTCCTTCTGTAAGATCACAGGGAGAACACATTCCTTAGCCTCTATCACAGGTAGGAATCCATACTTCAGTTCTGGCTAGTAGAATATAGTCAGTAGTGATGTTTGCCACATGGTCTTAAAACCATCGACAAATCAGACTTCCTAAATTTAAAGACCCAACCCAAAAATGGGCACCTGAAATGAATATATGCTTCTCAGATGAAGAAATACAAACAGCAAATAAATACATGAAAAGATGTTCAACATCACTTGTTATTTGAGAAATGAAAGTTAAAGCAACACTGAGATTCCACCTCACCCCAGAAAGAATGGCTGTTATCAAGAAATTAACCAATAATAAATGCTGGAGGGGCTGTAGTGAAAAAGGAACCATTCTCCAGTGTTGGTGGGAGTGCAGACTGCTGCAACCACTGTGGGAATCAGTGTGGAGATTCTGCAAAAAACTAAGATCAGATGTCCTATTTGACAATGCTGTTCTCCTTCTGGGTATCATCCTAGAAGAATTAAAAAGAATACCACAATGATACATGTGCACCTGTATTTATAATAGCACAGTTTGTAATAGGTAGATCTTGGAAACAATTTAAATGCCCATCCACCAAGGAGTGGACAAAAAAAATAGTATTTTTATACAATGAAGTACTACTCAGCCATAAAGAAAGATAAATTTGAGACTTCTATAGGTAAATGGGTGCAACTTGAGACCGTACCCACTAGTGAAATAAATCAAACATGCATATGTAGGCATTGCATTGTCTCCCTAGTGTGGAAACTGAAAGAAATAATATATGTGCATATATATATATAAAATAGTTAAAATAGTAATCCTTCTGATTTCTCTGAGTTCATTGAAGAGAAAGCTGCGTGCTAGTATTGTTCAAACAATTAATGGCAGTTAGCTGTACTCTAAGTAACTGATTTGAAGATAACATCACACAATATATGAACCATTGTTACCCTCTGATTATCATATATTGAATTTTTTTCACTTTAAAAACAAAAAGGAAAAGCCATCAAGATATGCTAGCTTCCTTTAGAGTATTAGGTGCATTCAAGGAATGCACTGAAGGACTTCAGAGTCCAAGAAGATGGCAGAGTCATGCAATTCAAAAAGATTAGGTGCTTTAATGAGCTCTTTTTCTGGTCACTTGATGATCTAAATTAAACTTTGATATCTGAAAAATAAACTTTGTAGGGATTAAATCTCTAATATTTGAGTTGTTATAAGACAACTCATACTCTAATTACTCTAATTATTAAAGTCATGACTAATACATTAGAAATGGCCTTCATTAATATATTGGTATTTATTATTCTAATATTTTCTGAGAAATATGAATTTTAACATTATATATGTATATAAAAACATTACATATTATCTGCTGTAGATGCCAAATAAAACACTTATTTATCAAAATAATCAATAATCATACTCAAAATTGGTTTTACAATTTAAAACCAGAAATCTGCATTTACATTTTACATGGAACAATTTTGATGAAGAGAAAATATAAAGTATCTTCCATACATAGAAAATTTAAATTTAAAAAAATAATATACCCACATTCACATGTTTAAGTGAAAACCACAAAATAAAAGAAGGAATTGTCAGTTATTAGTGATGATATACAGAGTTGTGCTTTCTTTACAAAACAGTGCTTTTCCGCGTCTAGTAGAAACAATCTCGTATGTGAAGATATCGCTTAAACTTTCCTGAAGGAGTTAAGACAACTGAATAAAAGGGGAAGCACTATGTTTTGGAAATGGGAAGAGAATTGTATAGAAGTCAGTTCTACCTCAAATAACATACAATTCCAATGAAATTCCCCTATTAGCAGTCTATTTAAATGGATCCTGACAGGTTGGATTTTAAATTCACCTGTAGATGTACTAGACCAGAGAAGGCAAGCAAAAACATGTAAAGAATCTTTAACTGGGGTTTTTATATGATAAAGTGAGTTGCTACTTCTTTTCTTCAGAAAATCACTCACCTTAAGGGTGTGAATGAAAATTAAACACATTTGTTATCATTTTACTTTAAAGTTACTTCTAGAGGAATATTTCCACACTTTAACACTTAAGGGATCTCTCTTCGCGATTTTCTCTGCTGTAATCCGGGAGGGGCTTGGACTCTCCATCACAGCCAGGGGCGGAACCTTCTCTGCAGCCTGGCGGTGAGCTGCGCCTGGCTAGTCTTGGGGGAGGAGCTGCATTTTACCAGGCTGCAGCTGACAAGAAGCGTCAAGGTAATGGCTGTTTTAAATTTAGTTATTTTCTAGTGACATGAGAGGGTCCTAGGGTAAACATGAGAAAAATAAGGACGACAGTTTCGGAGTGGCAGGAAAGGTGTGTGGTTTTGAAAGAATTGCTGTCATTTTGAAGGAATTAATCTTCGAGAATTTGCGCATCTCCCAAGGCTTTATAAATCCACAGAGAGGAGTGATCAGATTACAGCCTTTAAACTAAGACTTCTGTGCAGCATGTTTGTTCATACTAATGTATTGATTTGATAGTCCATGTTTATAGTGCTATTCCATTCCTATCTTGCTGTTGTTGCTTGAAGTTTTAAATATGTATTAATTTATACAGAATAACTGATAAAATATTGACAGCATGAAGGGAAATACTGTAATTAATTGATAGACTGTGTGTGTCACATGTACATGATCATCGAAAGGAAATCAAATATGTATTTTAGTAAAGACATTTACACATCATATATGCATGAGTAAAAATATGAAGAAAATAATTTCCATATTACTGCTCAGTATTTCTGGGTAGTCAGATTACTATTTTAATTTTTTTATTCTGTTTCATTATCACTACAGAAGATTTCCACATGATTATTTTTATAATCATAAAAGAAAAGAAAATCTAAAATACTATATTCATTTTGTTTCAGACAAATAAACATTTAGTGCAGACACACAGACATGCTGTCATGTGGAAATTTTCTGGACCTGATTAAACTGGTATCCTGGTTGCTGCGTAGATTAAAGCCTTGCATGTGTCCTCACTATAGTTCATTATTTTAGTAAGTGATTTTAAATGAGGTTTAAAAATACAATATACCAAAAATACAATCTGTACCAAATAAGTTTAAGACTGAGACAGAGGATTTGAGTTATTGCTATTGACCAATTTAACAAATATTATATGGCAAGTTAGAAGCATACTGTGTATCTGGTGAATACAAACATGGATCTCTATACGTAGGGTTTTGAAAATGACTACAAAATGACATAAGATGAAGAAATAAAATGATAGAAAAGTACAAATGATCTCCTTTAAGAATAAATATATATATGAAATTTTATGTATGTATGTTATTATAATCTATATAACCAAATTTGAAAATACATATCTGCCAATTGGATTATTTGTCTAGTTAAAGAGACAGGGATGGCTTGTGTATTGGCTGCTTTTTAAATTATAATTTTTTATCTTCAGGAAAATATTGAGATAAGATATGTAAATTTTGGAAAAACCTTGTTTAAAATCACTTACTAAAAAACATGTAGAAAATATGTAGTATGATATTCAAGCCACTACCTTGTGTGAAGTCTGGAGTTTGAAATGAAATTCACTCATTTACATATGTAAATAAATTCTAACAGGATATATTGAATAAAGAATATTCATAGTGGTTATTTGAATAGAGTTGTACTCTTTGGATCTTTTCAAATTTCATAAATTTCTGGTTCATATAATCAGAAACATGGTGACTGAAGACATTATGATCTTATTTTCCCATATAACAAAACCCTTAAATTTATCAGAGAGAATTGTAGAAGTCTGACAAGGGTCCTGGCAAGCTGTGCTGTAGTGGTTCCCATCCTCCTTTAAGAAGGATATGCTCTTGATTACCTGTCTGTGTATCATGGGAAGACTGCAGTTCTGGTTCGGCTCACAAGGTGGCGCTTGCCAGATAGTTTATATTTTCTCCAGTAGGATAAAGCAATGAAAGGATCTTGTATTAATAGACTGTGAGACATTATGTACAGTGTAGCTGAGAGTCCATTGAAAAATCTGTGTGTTTGAAGAAGAAATAAGGCTGAATGATCAGTACATGAGGAGTTAAACAGAAAAAATAGTCTGAATCACAAATGGCATAGGCTGTTAATTCTTTCTAAATCCAGCTAATATTTTTTGTCAAAGAATTTCTTCAACATGAACAAAATAAAGTTAATATGTCCCACAGAACATGTCACATTATAAAAAAATGAAAAATAAGCATTACTCTTGCATCATGGATGAGATTTCACCTCAAGCTATGTTTCAAAGTAACACATGTACTAGCATTCTGGTAAGAATTTGCCTTTATACTTTTTCCATATTATTGATTTGATTCCCTTTCTTGCTTTTATACAGCCAACGTTAACATCAAAGGTATATGAGACCAGGGAAGTCTGCCTGCGGTGCCAGTTGAGCCCTAGAAAGTCTGTGCAGCCACATAAGTACTCAGCAGGGTGCAGGCTCTGTTGGAGTGAGAATTAACTGAGTGGGATCTCAGGGCCTGACGCACTACAGTCCAGGTTACAGAGGGTAAGACTTCCAAATTCGTTAAATATTGCATAATAAATCGGATTAAAATCTTGAAGGATAATGTTTTGCTTCCTATTTTGTAGCCATAGCATTTAAAAATTATTATTTAATGTTAAAATCATGTTTGGTTGAGAATTTCAGGTACAATTCAGTGTGAGCTTCTTATTCTGCAGTTAAAACATTTGTAATTAACAGTCACAAATTTTTGTTTTGAGAAAGCATCTCATGTAGTAAATCCACTTTGCAAAATTAATACAAGAGTCTATTCAACTGTGTGAGGTTCAAGCCAAAGACTGACTCTCAATTCCTTGACAACTAATCTATCTAATCAGTGGCCATAGCAGTCATTCTCATTCTCTGCCTACTAAGATTGTGCTTTTTGTACAATGTAATCATTGTATTGATGTGTAGATATGGGGAGTACAGACCCTACTGCTTTTGAATGCTTGAAGAAACAGTAAAACGCTTGAGCTTAAGAATAACAAAGCTTTGGTTCAGCTAGAATAGTACTTTTCAATGAGTTATTCTTGGATATGTTGCATTAGAAAATTTTGAGAATTTATTGGTAATAAAAACCTTGTGAGGTGAATGTAGACCTTTCAACTAAGGATGAAGGCTATAAATATATAAATTGCAAAATGTGGAGACCACTGTGATAAATATTATGGTAAAAGCATAAAAGTATCAATGTATACAGTATCATAAACAGATTCCCTGATATCATATAAGCTCTCCACAGCTACTGATGTATATAAAATTTACTCTTTATAAATATATTTCTGTGTTTCAATTTGAGATGTTATAAAATATTTTACAAATAATTATTCCCTCCCCCATATTTGCTGTGTTTTTCTCCTTCTGATCCTGATTGAGCATTTTTATTTCCAGCTTATTTCTTTCCTGTTTACTATTGCTTACCTACAAATTAGGAGAAATAATTTTACTTACCCATAATTTTCCTTTTCCTTATTTCAGCTATTTCCAGTATTGTTCAATTGAAACAACGTATTCAAGCATCCTCAGGAAATCGTGGTGGAGTAGAACGGGTCACACAAGCCACAAACTCTTTATAGTTCTAAAATAAAGAGGTTTTGTTAAGAATTGTTTCTGGTAGAACAAGTTTTTGCCGTATTACAGACAGACAGACAGCCACCTAAATTTATGATAGTAGCAGCTAAACACACAAACATAAAATAAAATGAATCCTGAGTATGTCTTATGCAATTGGAAAGACCAGGTGTGGCCAGCAAAAGTTTTATCTAGATCTAAAACTTCATCAAGAGGTAAGAGAAAAAGTACATCCTCCCTGGAAGTTCAAATACTCTCACTAGATGAAACAGTTAAGGTGAAAAGCACAGAAACAAAGACCCTAAATAAATCAGAAATTGAAGCCATTGTTTCGTCACTAGCAGTACAGTCAGAGGTCAGTGATGTACATAGAGAGGACACACCTTATGGAAGAGCGCTAAAAGAGGCACTGCATATCCTGGATAAGAGAGCAATTTTGAGTCAAGCAAGCATTACAGATGAAGGAGAAACTTCTATACACACTGAAAATGTAGGGCAAGAGCTCTCGGATATACCACCTTGTAAAAGGTATCAGAAGCATGAAGAGTGTTTTGAAGAAAATGAAGACCAAACACCCCCATTACTGTCTTCAGAGAGTGATGTTTCCCTGACTGATGATGAAGTAGAGGTGCATCCAACTGTTGATACTGTACAAAATGAAGAAGAAATACAGTCACCAGAAAACTTCACAAGTTACCAGGCTTCCCCTTTGCTTTCAGAAGATAATGATAAAAAAGAGGACAAGATAAAGATCTCAACATTTATGTCTGCAGATTCTACAGTGAAAGGGGAGAGTGAGTTAGTGGAAGATGAGAAGTGTGTTGCATCTTCATCATCAAAAGATGAAAAGTGTGTTCAATCTTCATTATCAAAAGATGAAAACTGTGTTCCATCTTCTTCATCAGATATCCTTACTGCATCTAAAGGTTTGAAAGAGGACACACAAGACACCTGCCCAGACATTCTGCCTGTTTCTTCTGAATGCCCTACATTTTCAGAGACTATTGAAGACCCTGAAGAGGGTCCCTCAAATCCAAATCCACGCTTAGACGTAAGTCAGGGTCAATCTCCTGTGGAATCAGAGGTGGGTGCTGAGACATCTTCTCCAAGCTGTTCATGGCAAAACCAGGCTGCATTTAGTTCCACTAGGCCTGTCCTAGATTACTCACTTCTTGTGAACAGTGAAAGATATCTTCAGAGACTGGATATTGAGGAATTTGAGGAAGATGCTCTAGCTTCTGATAAGTCACTGCGTCTAAATGCTGCTAGTCTGTCTGCATTAGATGATGATGAGGAAGATGAAGAACTTCCACGCTTTATTTTTCAGTATGAGCCACGTTCATTTGAAGCAGGAATGATAGTCTGGTTTAAATATAAAAAATATCCATTTTGGCCAGCAGTGGTAAAAAGCATTAGACGAAAGGAGAAGAAAGCAAGTGTGCTTTTTGTTGAGGCCAATATGAATCCTGAAAAGAAAGGCATTAGAGTACCTTTACGAAGCTTAAAAAAATTTGATTGTAAGGAAAAGCAAGAGCTAGTGGATAAAGCCAGGGAGGAGTACAATGAGAGTATTGACTGGTGCATCTCACTGATTTGTGACTACAGGGTTCGAATAGGTTGTGGCTCATTTTCAGGTTCTTTTCTTGAGTACTATGCTGCTGACATTAGTTGTCCAATGAGGAAAGCAATCCAGCGTGATACTTTTAGGAATATGTTTCCAAAGCTGCCTAATGAAGATACTGTGGAGCAAATGGTTGTGACTTCCCAGTCCAAGAAAAGGTCCTTCCAGAAAATTCTCCCTGATAGGATGAAGGCTGCTCGGGACCGAGCCAACAGAAATCTAGTGGACTACATTGTGAATGCAAAGGGCACAGATAGTCATCTTGTGGCCATTTTAAAACGCAGAAAAGAATCCAGATGGCTGAAGTCATTTTTACATCAAAGCACAATCATGCCCTGTATTGAAACATATATTGAGGATGAAGATCAGCTAGATGAAATAGTTAGATACTTGCAAGTACTCTATGACCACATAGACAAGAAGTTGCAAACACTTATAAGAGATGACAAAATTAATTTTATACTGCAAGTTCTTCTGCCAGAAGCAGTTATTTGTTCAATTTCTGCTGTTGATGGATTAGATTATGAGACAGCTGAAGCAAAGTATCTAAAAGGACCATCTCTAGGTTGTAGGGAAAGAGAATTATTTGATGCGAAGATCTTAGTTGGAAAGAGACGGAAACGTTAACCAATGAAGCTTATTATACATCCCTAGTCAAAACCGTAACAGGAAGCTTTCCATGATACTAGTATTAAATAATCTGTAGCAGTTCTCACTAACGTGTAACTGTACCTGACAATGGGAGACTTTAGCTAATGCTTTCTCCTGCTTTTAATGATGTGTAGGACCTGCAGATAGCACTACATTTTTATTTGCTTGTGCTTCTTCAGAGACAATTTTGCTAAAATATTTCAGCAGTCTTACTTTATCATACGTTTCTAGAATGCAGAATTCTAAATAATTTTTAACGGAGAGTACTATTTTGTTTTATGATATTTTTTGTGTCTGTGCTAAATAGCTGAATATAGTGAGCACAATCATTTTAATACTGAAATTGCACTGGTATTGAATTTTAAGCAAGATAATTAGAAAAGAAGTCTAAAAGAAATGCAAGTATATATTTTTGCTTACTTTTATAAAATACTGAGATTTCTCTTAAGATAGTAGAATTATTTTTCCTGCCATGCCTATTTATTTTTGCAAAAAATTATCTGAGACATAGAACCAAAGATAGATAAGCTTTGCTGTATAACTAAACATAACTGCTTTTGCAAGAAAACAATTTAAAGTTCAAAAGTAAGGCAAGTGGATTAACTGCATGCAGTCTATATTTTTGTGAATAACATCTCAGCATGCAGACAGTAATTTTGGTAGTCTTCAACAGAATTGTTTATTCTATACTTCCCTGAAATTGCATTTTGGGGAGGAGTGTCTATTCTCTAAGGGCTAAACAGTTTCTTAATAGAGACAGAATTCTTTTTGGCTATCTTCATAACTACCAGTGAGTGTATCTTCTTAATTCAGCTGTCTGACAAAATACAGAGGGCAGAGACAGTCATTGTATTTTTGGTCTTTCCATTTTATAGGTGTGGCCCACTGCTAACGAGGCAGTCTAGTTTTACAGAAACTGTAGTAAATAGAAGCATTATATTATGTCTTATCTCTTTATATGTAGTCATTTGTTTCAAAAGAAGGATGCTTTAGTGTTTGGGTTACTTGTAGAATAGTTGCAATTGTTTCTGGTAAGGTAAATGAAAACTGATAAGTCATTCCAAACTACTAGATAGAGTATGGACCAGAATCTGGGAATTTGGATGTCTGTCACAAGAAGAAGCTCTATTTTCTAATTATGACAATTATTGCTATGTGGTTAAATATGCAGAATTAAAAGCTAAAACAAATGACTTGTTTATGGTAACTTGAAATGCAATTTTTGTGAGACTAAATCTTAGAAAAACTGTTTACTTTTGAAATGTGATGTGAACAGAAGTGCTAAAGGCTTAACAAAAATTTGTCTGCATAATTACCTCTTAGAGTGAAATAGCTGTAACTCCCGAGCTTTTGTTATATGTCTACATAGCAATGTATTCATGTAAAATTTCAAAAGTGTGTTATCTTGACTTACAGTAAAGCCATTATATACTTCACTTTGGATATTCTCTTCATCTTGTAATTGTTATCATTTTAATAGTTGTTATAAGTTTTCATTCTAAATAAATATTCACTTTCGTGCTTACAGTTCATTTTGCATTATTTTTAAAAGCCTTCCAAATTTTATAAGCTGCAGACCTCACAAAATAGTCTCTCTAAATTCTGCCGGTGAAAGACCAATGTCTTTGGGCATATAGCCTATAACCAGTGGTGGTAAACCTATGCAACACATGTTACAGTGGGCTGTCTATGTCACTGAAGGCTCTAAAAGGTTATCTACCACTACATACCAATCAACATGCTTCTCATTTGGTCATGAGCAGTATTTGATAGCAGACCACCACTATACAATACAGGGACTTTATGCCCTGATAAAACATTTTATTTATAGCATTGTATCCCTCTGATTCCAGTGTACAGTCCACCTTCAGAAATCCTCATGAGCTCTATCTTCTGACTCTAATTTTATTATATCATTCACTCACAGTCACATGAATCAGGAGAGCAGGTAATAGGTGGTTTTATTTTCTGCTCTGGTAAGAAATTGAAGGTCCGCATAGAAAGGAGATACATGTATTACTGATATCCGAGGACAGTGTAGTTTCTAATGTGAATTCAATATATTATATCATTACAGAGAGAAACATTAAACTTATGAGCTGACTACTGGTGTTTGAAAGGCAGAGCCTGAGGTTTCCAGTCCCTGGGAATCTGGTTTGGGGTAGAGTGCTCTTGAGATGTCATTTATCTTGTGGCATATGTTGAAATAAGGGGGCTTGGGATTTAGCTCAATAGCATAAGCACCTTCTTGGCAAATGTGAGGTCATGAGTTCAATCCCCAGCGCACACACACACACACACAAAAAAAAAAAAAAAAAAAAAAAAAAAAAAAAAAAAAAAAAAAAAAAAACAGAAATAAAGAAGGGAGATGTGCCATAAGACATACTTACATTCTCCTCTAAATCTCTCATTCAATGGCATTTGACATGAAGGAGAGGATGAGTTTGTCTTCTACATCAGTGTAGACTCAGATCACCTCAAAAGAGTAATTGTTAGGGCTGGCACTAAGATTATCCTAAAGTGGAACTTTAATGTAGATTTGCATGTCTGAGTAGAAAGCATGTCCTGGTATCCACTTTGACAAGTAGCTTAAGTAGAGATTTTTACCATCTGGTTCTAAAGCAGACACTTACACATTAGGTCCAAAGTCTATTTGTAAGTTCTAAACTGCATGAAGATTGCTGACTCAGTAAGATTAGGTCTATGTATCTATCCTTCATCTAACTGTATCTCTGTTTAGGTCTTTTGATCTATCAATCTATCATTGATCTATTTTGACAAGAAAAGAGTATAACCTTGAGACCTCGAGTAGTGATGAATCTTGCATCATATGTACAATCCTCTGAATTTTCACATTGGTGGTAGTGGACTCCTAAACCTGCGGGGGTGGAGATCAGACTTCCTATTCGTGGTGACACGGTAATACTTTTCTCTAAGGCAGCAACCTCAAAAGCTGTTGCTTGCCTTGCTCCATATCCAACACTAACATTTTTTACTATGTCCAACTTTTATTTTCATACTGAGAATCAAACTCAACCTCACACTTGCCAGACAGGCTCTGTTCCAGTGAACTATTTCACAGCCCTTCCATCTCCAACGTATAAAAGCAAAAATTACAAGATGCAGATGGAAAATACTATATATTCGGAAGGTAATAATGGAAGGGGCTAATATCAACAGCATAAGCTGGGATAAAATATTTGGGGATATGCTTTGCATTTTGAGGATGCTAAACTAGCAAAAATGGTGATATGTTTTGCATTTGAGGATGCTAAACTAGCACAGAATACAGGTAAACATAAGTGGTAGCTTAAATATTACAGTAGTGTGCACCTGTAGCTAGGGGTACAATGAGCTGGTAATGTGCTGCTAGGGAGGCTTAATTTTCCTTCATCTCCTTCCTCTTGCTCTCATTCTTTATCTGGCTTTCTGTTTTCCAGTACCGGCTGTTGATTAAATGTAGGACTCAGGACCCTTCACATGCATGACAGATAAACATTCCACCATTGAGCTACACTGCCAGTCTTTTATATGTTACTTTATTATTTAGAGATAAGGTCTCACTAGTAGCTCAGGCTGGCCTCAATCTTGTGATCCTCCTGCCTTAATCTCCTGTGTAACAGATTCTATGCCCAACCCATCTTTATACGAACGCCATCAGTTGAGCAAAGCTACCTTAACAGAATATTGTGAATTTGGTGAGATCAAATCAGTTTGTCTCGTTAGAAATGATTTATTGTAGGTGACAAAAGATCATATCTGTGACTTTTCCCTAGGAAGCAGAAAAGATATCACAACTCTTCCAAATATTTGGTGAGGAAAATCAATGATATTTATAATGAGTGCAGCTCCTGTGTTCTTCTGAAAACCATGAAGGTAAGTTATGTTGCAGTAGGGATAAGATTCTAGAATATTAGACCACAGGAAAAAACCTCAAGAGCAAAGAAAGTATCATGGCAAGAAAGAAGTTCACAGTATAGTGAGGTAACTGTCATAAAACTGGAAATGCCTCAAAAATAGTAATATTGCAGTGCTACTTGTACAGGCATATGACTGATGTACTGCACCTTTCATACAAAAGCAAAACATGTGAATTCCATAGCCAAAGACTCATGCTGGCAGCTGCAGTGAAAAACTATAGTCTATGACCAAAGATTCATGATTCCTCTACAACTAAGGCCATGCCACATATAGTCACTAGATTCTCCGTGGTTAGGATAAATTACCTGACACCAACAACTTAAAGGAGGAGAGGTTTCATTGGTTCATAGGTCCAGTATATTCAGTCCCCCTTTCATTAGTCCCAAGCCAGTAGCATCATGGCGGAAGGCCATGGTGTAACTATACTGCTTGATTTCTAGCAACCAAGAAACAGAGCAGAGGAACAGTGCCAGAGAAATGGGTTGAGGGGTCCATAGACCCAGTGGTCAGACTTCTATAATTCCCCCACACACATCAAGGAGTTTGCTTTACTAATTCCCTGGGCAGCTATTCCTCTGGGCCTCTTACAATGACTCTACTCACTGCCTGCAAATGTCCATGGGAGACATTGAACTTTCTGAGCATCTTTAACTTTCTGGGATCACTAATGCACTTTCAGTTTCATTCCCACAACTTCATACAACCAATTTTCAGGGGCACATTTTCTAGCCTCCGAGATCTCTTGGAATACAGCTGGAAGGCTTCATGACATGACAACTTTTTCATTCTGTATGCCTGAAAATCCAGCATCACATGGGTGATGTTAACACCCGAAATCAGTATGCACAGTAAGAAAGACCCTTGGACAATGGCTTGCAGTGGCCTCTGAGTCCTTGTATTCCCAATCATGGTGAAATGATTCCTGAGAAACCAAATCTCAAGGCATTATTTCTCTGGTAAAGATCTGAAGGGCTCTACTCTCAAATCAATGATTTATACTTTTGTGCTCTGAAGCCTACAATGGACAATGGTCTTGCTGATTTGTGAGATACATCCACAAGGCATCATTCTTTTTGTCTCCTTAACAGAGTACATGGTTTATATTTAGTGCTGCTAAATACTTTAGCAACCAAAACAACATGGCTCCACCTTTAAATATCATTGCTCTTGGACCAAATTTTAACTTTTTCAAAATTTTCACTCTAATTTTTGCCCTCAATTCTTGGAATAAATCTGGCTAAAAACAGCCATCAGTAGTCATATCACAGCCTGAAAATTAGACTTCCTTGAAATTTGCCCCAATCCATCAATTAATCTGCCACCTTAAAACTCAGGCTCACACAAATTATCAGGAAATGGGAAAAATTTACACAATTTTTCCCAGGGTGTAATACACCTGGCCTGTAATTGAAATCCAAATATTTGTTCCCAATGAAGATTCCTTGAGCTGGCCTTTAAAACCTGAATTCCTATCAGCATTCTGGTCTTCTGAGCATAGATTAGAATTTTTCTAATTCTAAAACTAGAATTTTCTGTTACAACATTCTAAGGTTTCTCCAGGTTTCATCCTCAGTTTTCAATCTCCTTCTGTGAAATTTTCAAATGTTTGTGAATCACATGGTAAGGCATAGGAACAGCTATGATCCTTTTCCTGATTAAAAGAAAAGAGTTTTATGTCTTGGTCAACATTTTCATCACTAGGACACAAATGCTCACACCCTCAATTTAAAGAAGGAGTAGGTTTTCTCTAGCGTAGGTTTTCAGAGAATTGAGTACATGGTCTGCTGGCAATAAGGCAAGAACATTATGGGAAAGAGCATGATGAAACCAGGCTTTGTAGTTCCAAGCAGCTATGAAACAGCAAAATGCTAGTATCAGAGGAAACAGGACTAGAGACAGACATAGACCTCAGGATTATGCCTCCATAAATCACCTAGGCACATAACAATACCCAGAACAGTGCGAAAATCAATGAAGCTGGCAATTTGCCTTAACTGTTCAGTTACCTTCCTACTCCATCTATAGTGGAAAAGGTTGCAGTATCCAATCACTTCCAAGCTATAATAGGAGAGTGATGATACAGAATTTTGAGATTCTGAAGAAAAACTTTAAGTTCTGTAAATTACATGCCACTTCCAAACAACTAATTTTGCAAAATTAAGGCTTCGTAGATAGTGCCAAGCCAAATCCCAAAAAATGACTATATAGAAGAAATTGCCCTTCCTATGTTGAATATTAGATGACTAAAAAGTGATACAGTGCTGCAAGATGAGCAGCAACTCATACACACTGTAATGAAATTACTACATTTCGCATCCAGTCTGAGCTAGTGAAAAAAAAAAAAAAAAAAGATTATGTAACTCTCCATAGAACTGATGATTGTTTCAGTGGTACTTCTCCCTTAGGCTTTCCTGAAAAAGGTCATAATCTATGACTCACTGAGTGAACAATATCAGTCGTGGTGCTTAGATGGTAGCATTATGTGTTGATGACCATGATGACTTATAGTTGGCTCTTTCAGCATCAATTACAGTAACCTCAAAAAATAGTACTGAAGTGAAAACACCAACATGGCAGTACTCTTAGTATCTCACTTTGTTTGGAGA